GAAGGAGAAATAATATAAGGTGAGTGGTATCGATTGATGATTGCTATTATAAAGAACAGGAAGTTCCTGTTCGTATTGTATTGTATAAATATGATGTACGTCTAATTTTTGTGGGTGTGTATTTTACATGTTTGTTAATAAAAATCTTTTTTAAAAAAGAATATACATGAATAGGATTTAGAGTTTTTAGGTTGGTGAGGAGGCAGATATAGATAATAGATAATAGGATGTAGAAAATCATGCATGGAATGATTCGCCCCTCTTTCATTGTATAAGAATATTGTGTTAGACATTAAAACTAGATGCAGAGAGATTTAAAACATTGGCAAACAAATTGGTCAATGATTTAAATAGTTGAAAAGGAAACTAAGCAAATTCATGGAGGATCAGTGAGTCCTAGTCCTGATGGTTGATTACTATCTTCTAAATCATGGGAAGCATTCCTTAAACATCAGATGCTAGATAGCAAATGTGGAAGAGAACCCATATTTGCAAGCTTCCTGAATGCATGTAGCTGACCACTATTATACACCATGCTGAACTAGAAGAGCCATTAACCTATTTCAACAGGAATGTGAATAAGTGTTTATGTTCTCATAATTCATTTACCTTTTCTTCATTATTGATGGGACTCTTCCACTGAATGTATGTAAAAATTGTGGAGAATTCCTCTGGTTGGAAAAACTCACTGAGCTGCTTTGTCGTCTTTTCTTACCTTTAATATAATGTTTCTAATTATATATTTCTAATTATATATTTGACTCTTTCAAGAAATAGTTGAATACATTCTACAATTCAATTATACTTTGTTCTCTAACTGATTTTACAGTGAATTACAGTGAATACATTTTACTTTGATTCTAATCTACTTCAAACAGTAATTATTGGGAAACATCAAAATGTCATTGATAATTTAGAAATTAAGTCATGTAAATACATCTTCAGTATATAAAGTGTTTCAATATTATTTATATACATACACGTATATACACACATACACAAACATGATTTCCCTAACATATTAGGATTAGTTCAGTTGCATTAGAAAATGCAATTTGCTTACATAGATTACACTAACCGTTTAGTTAAATACTCCCTAACATACGATTATATTTTCCCCATTTTTGCCACAATTCATTTTGCATTAGATATTAAAGAAACATGTAACATAAAACATAAAGGATAATAGTAACAAAATATAAGTAACATTTTCTGCTTTTTGTTGGAAATCCTGTAAAATCCCATCTTCCAGTTATTTTAACCAAAGCAAGGTGCATAAATGTGAGCAAGTTGATTAAATTGGTTTCAAGTCTTAAGGTGATTGGAATAACATTCACAAAAAGAAAACTTCCTGTTTCCTCCTCTATTACTTTAGCTATTTGGGCTCCTTGAAATTCCACCTTCCTTCATATTTAAAGAATTCTTTAAATTATATTTAAAGAAAGTTAATGAATAAATTTTAACATGTGTTATGTATGTATAATATATTAACTATCCCTTTCAAGTGTTAACTCTGAAAATTTCTTCTTCCATGTAAGCTAGGGGTTATCAATCTTTTTTTCCTCGTGGTGTTCTTCTGAGTGTCATTTACATTTGTGATTCCCCTCATAATCATTGTTTGCTGGCAAAAATATTACTCTGGAAGTTTGTATTGAGCAATGCTATAAAAATTGAATATGATTGAGATATTAACTATCCATTTAAAAACTTTCATGCTTGGTTACATTGGGACTCCTCCCCCAAAATTTCTGCTGAATGGTAGGAAGATTTTTTTCTCCTACCCATGATCTGCTAACAGCTAACACTGTTTCAATCTTGAAGACTGCAGTTCCTAGTGGGGACTGCTGGAAAGTTAAGTCATCCATCCATCTTTTCCTTTTGGCATATTGTTTATTTTAATATTACCCACATTTTTGGAAGTTTACTTTTTATTTTTAAGTTAACAAGCTTGTTGAATGCTGATTTATTTTATCCCTTGCTGGACTTTATCTGGTTTTTTTTTTGTCTCTTTCTTTTGATTTATTTTTCTGTTTTGAATAACTCTTGTTCCTCCCTAAGAAGGTCACAGCATGTTCTTGGGTAGTGAAAGTGTTTTGATTTGATTTACATTAATATAAGACTTTAATCTCTTACTAACTAAGAGATTTTGCATTTTATTAATTTGCAAAAAAAATGGGGCTTATTTTGTTAATTTTCTTTTAATTTTGGATCAAAATATTCAAAAAAAATTCTCCCTGCTTCTCTCTATTTTCTCACTCTGAGGAATATCACTTCAACACTATTAGATCTCTATCTTTGAAGAGTTTTTGGAAAACCTTTTTTAAAAGTTTGACAAAATAATAATGGCTACAAAAATGCCCAGCTGTTACACCAGATTTTCAAAAGGAACTTGGTTTGAAACTGGCAGATTCAGTGGGGAAGACTGAAAGAAATACGGATTTTACAGACTTAGGACTGAATGATAAGTGATAAACTGATTTCCTCTAAGAAGAGTGAAGGAGATTAGGGAATGGATTTACTACATTCAACTGGAAAACAATTTCGTCTGGACTTTTTTGGGAAGATAGATCGATTTTGGAGAATAGGTTTATTATATTTAGCCAGACCACAATTATGTTAAGATGTTATTAAGAAGCAAATGAGGATAATTGATCCAAGATAAATCAGAGTTAACTATCAGAATGATTTGGGATAGATAAGAACCATGGTAAACTTTCTATGAGATAGATAGAATAATAGTTTGTTAGCAGACGTCTTTGAAATTTTAATCTTATCTTTTGTTGTTATTGTAGTAGTTGTTCTATCTGTTAACTATTTTGTCATTAATATAGTAGATAATGACAGGCCAATAATTTGCAAATAGAATTATAAGTTTAAAAATTTCTCCTCCTATTTCACAAGGGGTGTGAAACTAGTGTTGCAACATATATAATCAGTATTCAAGTAGGGCTAATTATATATATATATATATATATATATATATATATATATATATATATATATATATATATATATATATATATATATATATATATATGTATGTATGTATGTATGTATGTATGTATGTATGTATGTATGTATGTATGTATGTATCCTTTTTAAACGACTTTTAAAATTCTTGTTTGTTTTGTTTTCTTTGTTTTTATAAAAACATTTTTTGAAGTTTTGTATTTTAACTTTTTTGAAAAAAATAAAAATTTAAAGTTAACTTACAATAACATTGATTATGGTCAGTGGATTTTTCTAATGGGACAACTATTCTTATTTAAATTATCAAATATGGTTTCTGATTCATTCTTCCCCTGCATTTCCCCAGTTATCATCTCCATTACTGAGAATTCTAAGAGTTCAAAGTGAAACATATTTCAAGGTACTTAGTATATACAGAATCATGCCATAAACATTTGTTAAAGTTTACTTACTATCTTGTGATTCTTGATTTAGTTTTATTACATGAATAAATGAACCAATAATTCTGCAAATGTTCATTACTATCCCCAACTGATGTACAGGAAATGCCTGCATTTTCTTATGTTTATTTAGAAAAGTTAACCCTGTCTTTATACTTGAGTGAAACAAACTTTCAAGATATTCAATACTATTTTTGGGTATTATTTCAGAAATTCCTTGCAGCCATGTTTTGACATAAGGCTCCCATCCCAAATCAGCAGGGTCCTGCAAATAAATAAAATACATAATGAGATGTGTGTTTGTGTGTGTGTATGTATGTATGTGTGTATGTATATATACATATATACATACAGACACACACACATACAAATAAAGATTTCATTTAATTATTTGTATATGAAATATAGCATATATATATATTTATCCAACAGGGTAATACACATACTAGGAACACATGTACCATATTAATTCATATATATGATATACATATATCAGACTTCTGCAGAGACAAATATTTCCAAATATGATAATTAAAAGTACCCCAGTTTCTTACATATATGCAGCATTATTACATTTATGCAGTTAAATAAACTAATACAAGGAAAACTGATCTGTAGAACTAAAAGTAGCAGGAGACAACTCAGTAAACATTCTAACCAACCTATGCCAACAAATCTGAATGGCTGATTGGAAGAGGTTAATGTACATTCCAATACCCCCCGCCCCCCCAAAAGGAAACCTAACTTAACAGTGTGCAAACTGTTGCACAATATCCTTAATTTTACACACTAGCAAAATAATCCTTTGGCTCATCCAATGTAGACTTGAACCTTACATAGAAAAGAAGATGCCAGATGTTCTATCTGCCTTTTAAAAAGGCTACAGAACATGAAACATTGTTGATGCATGATAGATAATCAAGAAAGCCAAAGAATACCAAAAAGAAGTTTATTGATTATTGAGAATGATTGTGTTGATCATGTCATGTTCTCAAAAAAATGGGAATCCTAAAACATCTCATGGTCATTCATGGGCAGAATATGGCAAAACAGCACTGGCTCTAGGCTGGCAACTATATGTGACAAAGCTATCATATTTTTTGGAGTATAGGACACACTCTTCCCCTCCCCCACAAAAAAGAGGCTGAAAATTTGGGTGCATCTTATGCTACTAATGTAGCTTTTTCAAAGTTTTTTCTTCAGTCCTAATGAGGCACTAATGAGTGAAGCTATCTTCTGTGCTTTGCCTGCTTTTCTCATTGCTGCTCCATCCAATGTTAGCACCTCATTAGGGCTGAATAAAAGCTTCCAAAGCACAGTTGATCATCGGAGGGAGCAGCAATGAGAAAAGCAGGCAAAACACAGAAGATTGGAAGATCATTTCACTCGCAGAAGATTGGAAGATCACTTCACTCGTTAGCACCTCATTAGGACTGGAAAAAAAGCTTCGAATATTTTTACTGCAGTGTACTCACCCCTTTGGATACCTGTACATCTTAGTGAAGATTGGAAGAGTAGAGACAAACAAAATGGAGTCTGTGCTTTAAAAACAATTTCTCAAGAAATGAAAAATCTACTTCTCTCCAATGCAACACATTCTTTTGCAAATTGTGAATTTTCTTATTTAAGTATGCCCTTCTGTAACTTTTCTGTAAAGCAGATAATTTGCTAGTATTACTGCTCCAAGTTTCCAGAATAGAAATAACAATTATCATACTGGTTAATGATCTCAGATAGAGTTTAAATAGGAAAGTGTACTCCTTTTTGGTCCAAATAGACTTCTCACTTGCCTTCAATAATGATTGTTTGTAATGATTGCAAGTGGTTGTTAATCAGTGTGGCCTCACTTGGAATACGTAGTCCAGGGGATAAAAAGCATGCACACTCAAAACCAGCAAACATATGTGCTGAAGCTAACCAGACTAAAAATGCTAGCCAATTCTGGTAGGCATAATTTTTTTCTCTATTTTCCTCCCCAAAAACTAAGGTAAGTCTTATACTCTGAAAAATATGGTATAATACTATTTCTTTCAAACTATATACTGAATATACATTAAGGAAAGTTGGATTGGAAGAAGATGAATATGGTTTTAAAATTGAAGAAAGATACATCAGTAACCTGTGTTATGCTGATACGGGTACTACTTGATAGCTGGATTTGCAAGCCTTAGTACTGAAAGTCAATGGGCACAATAAGAAAACAGGACTAAAAATATCATAGATAGCCAAGAAAACAAACAATGGCTTATGAGGTTCTCACTTGAAGTACAAATGATCAGGTTCAAATTATCCTACTTATCAACACATTATGCAAAGATCTAGTTCTCTAGAAAAGGCTCAAATGCTAAGAGAAGAAAAAGAATTGTAGCATGAAGGATGAACTCAGTTACAGTGGCAATGATTTTACCATTGGAAGACCTGAAAGATCAGGGTAGGGTTGATTGTCATGGAAAAAATTATATCTAAGTGGTCACTAGGAATTGGAAATAATTTGATAGCACATAACCAGTGAATTAAAGCTAAGAGACTGATATTTAAACTTTAGAAAGGACTTGCTGAGTTTACTTAGTTTACTAAGAGCAATTAGGTGACCATTAATGGCATTAGAAAGAATTGCTTTTTAATCTTTATTATTCCATCTCTAGAAATAAAATATAAGGTTACATACATAAAATTAGTGGACCAAAATTCTAAAATTATGCTTTAACAATCAGGCTAGAAAATGGCATAGAGAATTAAAGGATTATAGAATAAATATCATGCAGTATATATTGATAATAAATAAGCTTTCTAAGATAATTTATTAACATTGATAACCAAATGAAACTAACACTGAAGCATGCTAATATTGTGTAAGACTACACTGAAGCTGCTATAACATTGATGGCAAACCTTTTTGTAAACGTGTGCCAAAATTGTGCATGCACGCATTTGTGCCCCACACCACAATGCAATGCACTCTGCCCACCTGCACTTGCCTGTTTTTCACCCTCCCCAGGCTCCGGAGGCTTTCCTGAAGACTGGGGAGGGCGAAAACTGCCTCCCACAGCCCTCAGGGAAGCCAGAAATGGATGGTTTCCAAACTTCCAGTTGGTCCGTTGGGGCCATTTTTCACCCTCCCCAGGCTCCAGAGGCTTTCCTGAAGCCTGAGGAGGGTGAAAACGGCCTCCGCCGGCCCTATGGAAGGCCGAAAATCAGTCCACTGGTGCACACATGCACACTGAAGGTGATGGCTTGCATGCCAGCAGATATGGCTCCACACCTGTGGCATGCATGCCATAGGTTCGCCATCATGGTGAACATCATAAAAAACAAAGCAGGCATGTAAACAAAAACAAAATGTCAGGAATCTTGTCAGAAAGGTGCCTTCCTAGAGGTAGATAAAAAGGAGCAAGTCATTAAAGATCGAAGGAGAAATGTCATCAGAAACAGACACAGGAAACTGGCACTGAGTATATACAATAACACCCCTCACATATCACTGATAACTATCACTGATACCAGAATCAACAAGGCAAGTATTTTGAGAATAAAATATGTCCTGAACTTCCTTCTCTCGCCTAACTTTCCATTGTTCTATATATGGATTTGGCATCTTTTATCCCTTTAGGTAATGCCTAGTAGCCTAGTTAAAAGGCATGAGGCTAAGTAGGGATGTGGGGATAAGTCAGAGGTGGGCGAACCATTAGTGGCGGCAGTGGGAAGCTCTACCCACGCGCCCGGATGCTTCTGCTCATGCGCAGATACGTCACATGGGTGTATGTGTGCGCGCAAGCAAACCAGTAGTAAAATAAATTGCAACCCACCACTGGGATAAGTCTGTGTTTTTGACTGTGTGAGAAAGAGTGTATGTTGTAACCAGTAAAATTTTGCTATTATTTTAAATTCATTAGATTTCTGTGGATTCCAAAAAAAGCCTGATGTACCACTGTGTTTGGTTTGAAAGTTACTTGGATACAATTATTTCTTAGATGTTGACCAGGGCTGTGTATCTTGTATGCTGTCTGGAAACCTAGACAGAAAGTGTGAAGGAGGGGAGGTTTATAAGATGTGCATGGCCCAATAAGTTGTTATGTGCATGAATGAGTGACCACAAACCAAACACAGTAAAATGCATAGCAATGATTTGAATAAACACTTTGAATAGACTACATCAAACTAATTTACTCAAATGCATGAATCGAGACAAATCTGATTTG